CTTTTTGTTTCCACCCTTTTTATTTCTCAGTACATTTGCTTATTTTTTAAAAAGTGCTACACTCAGAGCAGAGCAGGGTCTGGGGAAAGAGATGGGATGGTTGAAATGGTAGAAAGGAGGTGAACAGATGAGAAGAAAACTTGTCTTATATTTAAGATGTGCCATTTGTTACAGATTCACCTACTTCTTTGCCCCCTTTGTAAATTGGGCCAATAGTAGCCTCTGCTAAGGCTGTTGTGAAGTGAGAGGTGATACGTGCAAAGTGCTTAGAACATGCAGAAAGGAAACACTCAACAAATATTAGCGGTTGTCATTATTCCCTCAATGAGCTTTAAGGAACATATTTGGAGGGGCATTTTTCTTTGGAAAGAGAGGTAGGCAAAGCTTCCCGGAGAGAAAACATGTCTCCTTTGAATTAAGTTAAACGAAGGAACTCTGATTGGGCCAGGAATAGTTTACTAATAAGTCTGACAAAGAAAGTAAATTATAAATATCCTGTAAGTAATGTTTAAGCTAATCATTAGCTCTGTAGAAGTAAATCCTTTCCAAAACAAAAAATATTTTTATTTATTTATGTTCTAAAGAAAGCACTGGTTTCACAACTTCCCTGGTGGTGCAGTGGTTAAGACTCCACAGTCCAATGCAGTGGGGTGCCTGGGTTCAACCTCTGGTCAGGGAACTAGATCCCACATGCGTGCCACAACGAAGAGGTCACACGCCTCAACTAAGACCCGGCGCAACCAAATAAATAAATAGATAAATATTTTTTAAAAAGAAAGCATTGGTTTCTGTTTCTTAGCTGATCTTGAAGGTAGTGAAGCCTTCACATGGAATGCATAAAACCCTGGAGTTAAACAAGACCCTCCTCCTGCACCAAGATTGCTCATCCAAGTGACTACCCATCTGAATATTTTCCTGTCCTCTTGCCGAAGAACATCTGTTTTGTACTGGCATGCAGCTGAAAGAACCAGACCATCCTCACCTAGTTAGCAATTAACATTTATCTGGGATCAGAAAATGAAGTTCCATCTGTAGATTCTAAGGAGCTAGAAGCCAAATAGCTGTCAATCTGAGAACCCTAGGATCTTGAAGCCAGGTTGACAGTGCCCTTTAGGATTGGTTCAGTGATTCTTCTGGCTAGTGCTGCAAAAAGTTCTCTCCAGCCATGGTATACAACTAGAGTATCTTAGAGGGTTACCCAGAGTATAAGGCCTCGGGACACACTGCAAAGCACCAAAGCTTAAATCTAAAAACATTTCTCTGGGTAAAAGAGGAGTGCTCCAGGAAAGCAGGGCTCCTTCCCGCTACAACCCACCAAGTGAAGACTAGCGGTAAGGAGTCTCAGTAATACTCCCTAAGGCAAACCATATGTGAAAAATGCTCCAAATAAATATTTGGCAAGCAGCAATTTTTTTTTTTTTTTTTTTTTTTTTTTTTTTTGCAGTACGCGGGCCTCTCACTGTTGTGGCCTCTCCCGTTGCAGAGCACAGGCTCAGGATGCGCAGGCTCAGCGGCCATGGCTCACGGGCCCAGCCGCTCCGCGGCATGTGGGATCCTCCCAGACCGGGGCACGAATCCACATTCCCTGCATCGGCAGGCAGACTCTCAACCACTGCGCCACCAGGGAAGCCCCCGGTCTAGCTCTTTTTGCATAACCTATGTTACACTTTCTGCCATCGCCAAACCCTCTCTCTCAGACATTTCTGCCTAAAGAATTAACCTTTATGTTTTGAATCACTACTCACACAAAACACCTGTTGGTTACAAACTATCAAATCCAAATACTAAATTTAATATTGGGGTGCTGGTACCTAACAAAATAACTTGTGGAGACAAGGCACTGGTTTCTGAATAGCTGATTTTAATGGTGATATGACTAGTTCCAAACGCATCCAGTCATGCCCGTATTCAAAAGAGTAAACCTTAAGGTAACCACACTTGCCATGAAAGTGTTGCATTTACTTATTTGTGTTTACCATAATGAGAAGTGATTTTTATTTTTCTAAGCCAACTGAAAAAGTCCAGGTCAACTTGACTCTACAGATGAAATGAAGTAAAACATGGCTTCCTCCTCCCCCAAATGACTACAAAAGAAAATCCACTTCTGTTCTTTACGTGAATTGTGCTTGATGCATGACACAAATACATGTTTAGAGACAATAGTGTTTCACATTTTCAAGGCTGTTTACCATGGTCTGGGAAGAGCCTAGGTAATTGCCTATAAAGAAAGAACCATTTTTGTTAACTCTTGTCCTTAATAAGTAATATGTGAATCTGGATCAGTGCTTCATTAACTAGAACGCTTCCATTAAAAAATTGCAGTTTATGTATATTTCAGGATTTATTTGGGAATACAATTTCTAATAATTCCCTATAAAAGATCTTACATGACAGTAAAAAGAAATTAGTATTTAATAACTGACATACAGGAAGCAATTTAACTAATTTATCTTTCCCAAAGAACTTACAACATTTTTGCTCCTCCTGAATGTAGTAAGGGTTTCCTTTTGAAAGCATCTTCTTGATTCTTCCAATTGCTTGTTCCACTACTATGAATTTCATTTGTTTTAAGTTAGGTTGGACAGTATAAAATTGAGTCCTAATGGCTATATAATCCCTGTAAAGCTATTAGCAATAGGGTAATATTCAGACACATTTCAGCAAGTGCCATTCTAGAGAGATGACGTACCACAGCTACATAAAAGATGGTGGGTCCACAGTTTTAGTGTGGGGCTTGTGGAAATGGATTCTAAAATCATATTTTTACGTATATGGTGGAGAAAAGAAAACCCTCAAAGCTGCCAATTTAAATGTCAATCGGATTCAGTGACACTACAGTAAGAGCACTGCGATGATATTTGTAAATTTTTTTTAACTTTCAATTTTCAATTCTGCTAAATTCAAAAATCCATAAAACTGAGCAAATGAGCATGATGCTAACAACCAGTGACTCCAGGTGAAAGTTCTATAATGTTCTTCTATAATGTTCACCGTACTATTACTTTTAACTTTCCCGCAAATTTGCAAATATTCAAAATAAAAAAATGACAAATGTCTATAGTATTCAAGATATAATGAATGAAGTTAAAGAAACACAAGACATAGACACAAAGTATGTCACTGAAAATCACTGGTTTTAGAGTAAAAAAAAAAAACAAAAAACGGCCCAACTTACAGGTAAAATCTTTCTTCTAAAAGAGAGCATGGGAGAGACATGTGACGTGCATTCAAAGAACAAATTGGTTTAGAAGCCAATAGAGACAGAACACCATGCATACAATGTCCTCACTGACATCACCTCTTGAATTTTCAAAGTGGGTATGTTTTTCTTGGTTCAACATTGGCTGCCCTGTTAAATCATGCAAACCATAGCAATCCACTGACTTGCACATTTACAAATCATTAAGTGTCCAAAAGTGTGAAACTTTCATTCAGGAGGGTCAGTATAACAAACCTCTCCATAAAATAAAAACGGTTCCTGACTCTGAGGAATAAAATGTTTTATCAGTTGAATGCCTGAAAACTGTCTGATATTATGTATTTCTCATATACTATTTAAGTTGTCTAAGTTTTAAAAATAAAGTACATGGATTTGATTCTTGTTTGAAGTCTCAGCTAAATGATAAAACTTCTCATTTCCTATTAGATCGATGGCTGAATGGTATCAGCTTAGCAAAAGAGCAAGTTTTTTTTTTTTAATCTTCATTTACTTTGAGATTTGAGACAGCACAACAGCAACCGCAAATCTTTTAGTGAAAAACAGAGTAAGAACCATATGCTGAGAATAATATCAATACTGAGACAATCCGCCCCAAAACTAATGTTCCCTTTAGGATACCCAGGCCTTCAAGCATGCCAGGTGGTACAACAGCACACCTTTCCCCTCCTCATAGGTTCCGAGAGAGAAGGGAACTTAAAATGCAAGAGCTAACGAATAACCAATGGGCAGGTAACACGAAGAAGCAAGAAGCCGGGAAGCCAGTTCCTTTCAAAAGGCGACAGAGGTGACAGTCGGATGCAAGAGCCTGGAGGACGGACACAAGCAGACCCAAAGAGCAACAGGCTTAATTTCTGGGGAGAGTACCGATTGCTGCATCATAGGCCTCAGAGATTGTCTACATATGACTCCTCCTCCCCTCGGCCATACTTACACTTCACCCTTTCTGTCTTAGCTCTCCATACCAATTACTGCCAATCAGATCACAAAGGAGAACTGAGGCTGCAGTATGGGACACTAGGAATATGGGGCACTATGAAAACAAGTTTATGTACAGCTTGACAGCAGGGTCTAGGGAGACTGGAGGAGGAGGAGCGAGACATACTTGAAAAAAACGGAGCATTACTCTGTAGACACTATAGCAATCAAAGGTACCTTAACTTTGTAAATAACCTAAGATGATTCATAGAATCAACTAAACTATAAGGTCTTTTTTTTTGGCGGGGGTGGAGGGGCTTTTAAAAACATATGTACATTGTTAAAAGCGTAAATGGGAAATATTCACATTCAGTCAAGCCCATTTTTGCAAGTTCCCTGAGATGGCATATAGAGATACACAACACAATGCAATGTTACAGCAGAAAGTCAATCATTTACAAAGATCATTTAGAATAAAGTCAAATTTCTCTTTCAACAGATGTGATCTACAAGATAAATTACATCCTGACTGTTGGCTGTTGCTATAAATCTATTCAAATCAGGAAAAACCATCATATTTAAAGCTCTCCAAGTAATTTTGGCACAGGTCACACCTTCGGGTTTTGTTCAGTCCCTGAGTTCTTTTAACAGGATAACTTGCATTCAACCTCTTCCCCAGCCACCCGGACCACTCCCCCGCACAACGCCCTGCAACCTGCCCTACACTCTCACTAACTCTAAGTCAAGCCTGAAGGCTACAACCTTTCTAACCGACCTGCCCTGCAGAAACCATAGAGCTTCTCTGGCTTGAAGAGTTATAGGTGGAAGAATCAAACGGGGTACATCTCATGCCTCCTAATTATTTCTAAAACTGCCTCCAAGGGTCAGTGTTTTAATGTCTCCAGGGCCTTATGCCTCAGATGCTCATCCAAACACTGGATGGCAAAGAGGTCGATGTCCGTGTCGAACTTGTTGGCGAACAAGTGGTGCACGCGCAACATCCAGTTCAAGTCACCCGCTCCGAAAACACACACGGAGCGCACGTGGATGCCGCTGCACGGCGGGTAGGGGGCGCCCTTGGAAATGTCACCTTCAAAGTACTGCCACTTGACAAACCTGGCAATTGCGTGCATGTCGGACATATCGTACTTATGGCTTAAGGACAGTGATCCTGGGACTTCGGGGATCCTCTGAATAGTGGCCCAGAGATACTCGTCCGGGCTGTATGTGTCTTTTGCCCACTCCATAAACTTTTGTATTTTTTCATTCTCGAGCACATACTCCACATACCTCCTACTGACCACAAAATAGGCACTGCCTGAAAACAGAGGTGTTTCAAGAGGAGGATGTATTTTGTCGGTCCCCATGTTTGTCAACTTTCCATTCACGACTGCATAATGCTTTTTCCACCTTTCTTTTTTATTGGATGGCATTCTCTCCGTTTCTAGGTTATTCTCGCCCATTAACGACTTGAGCTTCCTGACAATTTCCAGGTTGGTTTTAATAGGAAAATCCATACCGCAGAGATTTATCAAGTACTTCCAGTCTGCGTTCATTCGGTAGAGGTCCTGCATGCAGTTGAGGTCAGCCTGAACCCGGCTCCAAGATGCATACACAACACTCTCCAGCTGACTGGCCACAAAGACATTACTGAAACAGGATGCAATGCCAATCACCGCGGCCAAAAAGGATTCCTCTGATTTTGTATCCACGTGAATGCAATAGAAATTCTGAGGCATATAAATGGCTCTCAGGAGCCTGTCAAGCATTTCAATTTTGTGATGAACCACTACAGAATATGCTATTGGAAACTCTGCCTCTTCTTTACTAAGCGGTTCTTCAATATATTTGCGCTTCTTGATGAAAGAAGCACAATCACTGGTCATGTTTATGTAGTCATAGTTTGTCCATCGAGGGCGATTTCTAAATTTCACTGTTAGAATCTCAAGCTTTACCTTTTGGATTTCATCTACATCACCCTGCAGAACTTTGGTACAATTAATATTACTACTAGGATTCTCTTCAAGCAGCTCCAAATGTCCAACATTTACAAATTCAGGCTTTTGATGAATTCTTAAAACAGAGAAGGTGACCAGGGAAAAAACAAGAAGGAAGAAGAGGTATTTAGTGGGATAAGAAAAAAGTTTCCTCCTCCGCAACTTCCTCAGCATTTCAACAACAACTGGGGACTTGGCTTTATTAAGGGCAGTCTTCCAGGCTTCAAGCAGTAATGACTTCCCCTCTGTAGTGGCCTGGAGATTTGACAGTTTGCATTTATCAGAAATGCAAAGGCATCTTGAAATGGAGGGCAGCACTAAAAGAAAAATAGAAAGGATACATACATATATATATATATATATATATATATATATATATATATATATATATTAAAAAAATACAGTGTTTCATGACATCTTCTCAGGTTCAAAAACTGTCCTCTTTGCTATGAGGTCAGATGTTTAAGACAAAAACAAAGTGGGTCAATCAGAGGAAACGAAGTATTGTTATAGGATATACCCATCATCTCTGGTATCAATGCCAGATTGTCTTTTTAAAAAAGCTGAGTACAAGGATATGCTAGAATATCCTACAATCAACATTTTACCCCTCAGGTATATTGAGGTGCAAAACACAGTTGAAGACCTAGGCTATAGTTATTTTATTCTCCATAGCTGGTGAGTTTTTGATCCTGTGCCAGTGCTTGAAATCATTACTAATCTGGGTTCCTCCTGACACATCCATTAATGTCCATCAGTTGGCGTCAGCAGCCCCAAGTATTTGAAGAGATCAGATCCACTCTGCTCTTTACCAACTTAGGAGTGGGAGTACACTTAAGGAGACATTCAGAAATGGCTGTGGCTTCTAAGAATCTTTGAAGGAAAAGGGGGTCAACTGGATTTTCAAACTGGAACAGAAAGGCTCAGGTGAAACCAGGTCAGATTTGGAACTGTTTTGGGTTGACCTCACTTTGTTCAGTTCCATACCAGGCACCACAGGAAGAGAAGACATATATATTCCAAAATAGAGAAACAGCCTAGCTGAAAAACAACACTTGTATGCAAATTGTAACTTATGAAAGACCCTTTGTCTATATTCGAATTCCAGGAACCTAACCCACTTTTATTATGTAAAATGTTTACAAATATACAGATATTGTTTTGTTTTCAAAAGTCAATTTTATTACTCAGCAATTGGCTCTAACAAAGAAAGTCAAAACTATCAATTGTCTCAAAACCAGATTTATAGAGATTTGAAAAGTTTTTAACACCAGAATTAGCACTAGAACTTTTAAATATTTAATTAGGAAACAAACTGTAAATATTAATAATACAAATAAAAATAAATAACTGACCATCATTTGTACAGAGTAATGTTACAAAAATTAGTTAGACTTTTTACCATTTAAATCAAGAAAAGTCGGGATCATTTAGTGCTGATTCCAGGTAACATCCTCCGCCCATGTAGAGTGCTTCTTATGCAGTCAGGTTTCTTAAATGTACCAGGCATCCAGCAATGCTGTTATGTCCCATGAGTCTTTTTTTAAAAAAAAAAAACACGTGAAACAAAAAGAAAAATTTGTGAAGAGATATATATGCCCACGTAAGTATATACACACACACTCAGAAAGCATACGGGTAAACTAATTCTACATATTCACTTTTTTCTTCAAAATGACGGCTGGTCATATCCATTTTTTTCTTCAAAATGATGGCTCGTTGATTTCTCTTTTAAAACCTTCTCTCCAGTCTTTTTTTTTTTCTTTAGGCTACGTTTGTGGACTGCTAAAGGTTTGAAGACATCCCACAGTTTAGGTTGAACTTTTTCAGAGAAAACCCTAGGAGCATTTCCCAACATGTGTGCCAAGGAACAGTTTAATGGTCCTATATGATTGGAAAATCCAACATATCCTATGCGGCTGTGAAGATTCCCAATGCTCACTAGCCCATTAAAGACAATCCTGCAATTGAATTAGCTGCTTATCTCATCTTCCTCCAACTATGTTGTCTACCACCCCACTCCAAACCTCTAGTGGAAAGCAAACATTGGAATATTCTGCTAAAATACTTATACATCTGAACTATTAACACATCAGATCCCTAAACAAAGTTATACCCTTAAGCAATCTCTGCTTAAGGCATTTAAGAAAATCTCTGACTAATCATTATTAGTCAGCTTCTAAGCTAACTGAACAGAGACTTAAGTTGCCTCATGCAATAAAGAACACAGATTTACAAAATTAACCCAAGAAGGTCCATAACAACAATAAACCCTGGGCTGGGCAGGGGCAGAGGTCTGATTTCTAAAGTTGATGCATTATAAAATGTCCACTTTCAACAACTACAAAAAATTACAGGGCGCGTAGAGAAACACAAGTCTGGCCCATACACAGAAAAAGGGGCTTCAGTAAAAACTGTCCCGGAGGAAACCCAAGCACTGGACTTAACTACACAAAGACTTTCAGTCAGTTATTATAAGTATGTTCAAAGAACTGAAGAACTAAATCAAACCAATGAGAAAGATATTTAGCCAAATTGAGAATTTCAATAAAGAAACAGAAATTATAAAAAAGAACCAATAGAATTGATTGTATTGAAAGTACAATAACTGAATTGAAAAACTGACTAGAGGGGCTCAACAGCAGGTATGCACTGACAGTAGAAGGAATCAGTGGAACTGAGGAAAGGTCAAGAGAGAGTATCCAGTCTGAGGTACAAAAGGAAAAGAGAATTAAGAAAGATGACAGAGGCTCAGAGACCTGTGAGAAACCATTAAGCACATCAACAAATGCATAACAGGAGTGTCAGAAAGAAAGTGGAGGAAAGGGTGGGAGAGAAGGGTGAAAGAGGGGGCTGCAGTCACGAGCATGGGGGAGGGGGTGAAGAAAAAAACTGAATAATGGCTCAAAACTTCCCAAATTTGACTTTATTTTGTTTACTGCAGTATAGTTGACTTACAATATTAGTTTCAGGTGTACAACACAGTGATTCAATACTTTATATATTATACTCCATTTAAAGTAATTGCCCAATAATGGCTTTATTTCCCTGTACTGTACAATATATCTTTGTTGCTTATTTTATATATAATAGTTTTTGTCTCTTAATCCCATACACCTATTTTGCTCCTCCTCCCCTGCCCTCTCCCAACTGGTAATCACTAGTTTGTTCTCTGTATCTGTGAGGCTTGTTATATATATTCATTTGTTTTTTTGTTTTTTTTTTTTTTTTTTTTTTTTTTTTTTGGTATGCGGGCCTCTCACTGCTGTGGCCTCTCCCGTTGCGGAGCACAGGCTCTGGACGCGCAGGCTCAACGGCCATGGCTCACGGGCCTAGCCACTCCGCGGCATGTGGGATCTTCCCGTACCGGAGCATGAACTCGTGTCCCCTGCATCAGCAGGTGGACTCTCAACCACTGCGCCACCAGGGAAGCCCCTGTTTTATTTTTTAGATTCCACATATAACTAATAACAGAGTACTGCCTTTCTCTGTATCACTTATTTCATTAAGCATAATACTCTCTAGGTCCATCCACACTGCTGCAAATGGCAGAATTTCATTTTTTACGGCTGAGTAATATTCCAGTGGCGGGCAACTTAGTTTGTGTCCACATCTTGGCTATTGTAAATAACATTACTATGAACACTGGGGTACATGTATCTTTTCAAATTAGCATTTTCATTTTCTTCTGATATATATCCAGCAGTAGAACTGCTGAATCATGTGGTAGTTCTATTTTTAGTTTTTTGAGGAACCTCCATACTGTTTTCCATAGTGGCTGCACCAATTTACATTCCCACCAATAGCGTACTAGGGTTCCCTTTTCTCCACATCCTCATCAACATTTGTTATTTGTAGACTTTTGATGACAGCCATCTGACAGGTGTGAGGTGATATCTCATTGTGGTTTTGATTTGCATTTCCCTGATGATTAGAGACGAGCATTTTTTTCATATGGCTGTTGGCCATCTGTATATCTACTTTGGAAAAATGTCTAATCATGTCTTGTGCCCATTTTTTGACTGGGTTGTTTGTTTTTATATTGAGTTGTATGAGCTGTTTACATATTTTAGATAATAACCCCTTATTAGTCATACCATCTGCAAATATTTTCTCCCATTCAGTAGGTTGTCTTTTTGTCTTGTCCAGTGGTTTCCTTTGCTGTGCAAAGAGCTTTTAAGTTTAAAATTAGGTCCCATTGTTTATTTTTGCTTTTATTTCTTTTGCTTTAGGAGACAGTTCCCAAAAACTGTTGCTGTAATTTATGTCAAAGAGCATTCTGCCCATGTTCTCTTCTAGGAGTTTTATGGTTTCAGGTCTTATATTTAGGTCTTTAATCTATTTTGAGTTTGTTTTTGTATATGGTGTGAAGAAATGTTCTTCTAATCTTGTTCTTCTACATATAGCTATCCAGTTTTCCCAACACACTTGTTGAAGAGACTGTCTTTTCTCCACTGTAAATTCTTGCCTCCTTTGTCACAGACTAATTAACCATAAGTGTGTAGGTTTATTTCCAGGCTCTCTATTCTGTTCCATTGATCTATGTGTCTGTTTTTGTGCCTGTACCACACTGTTTTGAATGCTGTAGCTTTATAGTATGTTCTGAAGTCACAAAGGTGATATCTCTAGAAAAAATTTGAATAATGGCTGAAACTTCCCAAATTTGACTTCAAAAAATTAATCTGAATATCCAAGAGACTCAATGAGCTCCAAGTATGCAAAATGGGACAATCACTTTGGCAAACACTTTGGCAGTTTCTTACAAAGCTAAATATAGGCTAATCATTCAACCCAGCGATCACACTCTTAGCTATTTACCCAAACTGAACATGTATGTACACACAAAAACAAGCATATGAATGTTTACAGCAGCTTTATTCATAATTGCCAAAAACTGGAAGCAATCAAGATGTCCTTCAATAGGTGAATGAATAAACAATTTGTGGTACATCTATAAAATGGAATATTATTCAGTGATTTTTCAAAAAATCAGCTACCAAGCTATTAAAAGACATGGAGGAAGCTTAAACGCATACTGCAAAGTGACAGAAGCCAATGTGAAAGGCTACACACTGTATGAGTCCAAAGATATGATAGTCTGGAAAAGGCAAAACTATAAGAACAATAAAAGTTCAGCATTTACTAGCGATTTGAAGGAAAGAAGGAACAGATGAATAGGTACAAAACAGGGCATTTTTAGGGTGATGAAACTATTCTATAGGATACTGTTACAGTGGTTAAAGGATACTATGCATTTGTCCAAACCCAAAGAATTGTACAACACAAAGACTGACCCCTCTTAATTATAATTAATAATGTATCAATAGTTTCATCACTTGTAACAAATGTACCACACTTGTGCAAGACACTAATAATAGGGAAAACAATGTGAGCAGGTTTATGAGAACTCTGTACTCTCTGTGTAATTTTTCTGTAAACTTAAAACTGCTCTAAAAAATAATCTATTAAAATTGAAAAAAAATTAATCTGTACATTGAAGAAGCTCAGTGACTTCCAAGGATGATAAACTCAAATAAATTCAAATCTAGATACTTCTTAAACTGTTGAAAGACAACTTGAAAATAATAAGAGAAAAGTGATTATACAAGGGGTCCTCAAAATTAAAAGCTTCAAATCAGAAACAATGGAGACCAGAAGGTAATGAATAACATATTCAATGGACAGAAATAAAAAAGATTCAACCAAGAATTCTATAATCAGCAAAACAGTCGTTCAAAACCAATGAGAAATTAAGACATTTCTGGATAAATGAAAACTAAGAGAATTCATCACTAGCAGACCTGCCCAAAAGAAATACTAAATAGAGTCCTTCAGAATAAAAAGAAAGGATACTAGACAGTAACTCAAATCCACATGAAGAAATAAAAAGCATCTATAAAGTATATACACAGGAAATGTAATTTTCTATGAACAGTTTTCCCATCTGATTTAAAAGAAAACTACATAAAGTAGTAATTATAACACTGTATTGATAGGATTATAATGTATAAAGATGTGATTTATATAGTAATAATAGTATAAAGGAGGGAAGGGGAACAGCTATATCAGAGCAAAGTTTTTGAATGCTATTGAAATTAAGTTGGTATTAATCTAAAGTAGAATATTTTAAGTTAAGAAGGTTCATTTTTCTGTAATTTCAAGGGCAATCACTTTTTAAAAGCTCAAAAACATACAGTAAAGGAAACATCAAGGGAATTAAAATAGTACACTGGAAAATATCTAACACATAAGAATACAGCAATTGAGAAACAGAGGAACAAAAAAGACATAAGACACACAAAAAACAAATAACAAAATAGCAAATGTAAATCCTACCTTATCTGTAATTATAATAAATATAAATGGACTAAGACCTCCAATCAAAAGGCACAGATCGGCAAAACAGATTTTTTCTAAAAAATGATCCAAC